ATTATACAACTTCAGCTTCAGGTGTACAGTGCAGTGATCAAGCCTCTTCCCCATCCATGATGCAAGACATGTGACCACCTGACACCCTACGAAATATTCACAACATTATCAATTACATTCCTCGAACTGGCCCCCATGTCCCCATGGCAACACTGCAGCTGCGTATTTATGCTGTGCAGCCCCTTCCCTCTCTCCCTCATCCCCATCCACCCAACCAACAGCCATCAGCTGCACCCCTACATCTCTGTCAGAGAAATTTTTGATTATCATGACTGGGGAGATACAGCTCCTGACATTTAGTGTGTAGAGTCCAGGGAAGCCGCTAAACATTGTCCAATGCACAGAACAACAAAGAATGATCTATTTCCAAATGTCAGTAGAGCTGAGGCTGAGAAACCTTGGCGCATATATATATATATATATATATATATATATATATATAGAGAGAGAGAGAGAGAGAGAGAGAGAGAGAGAGAGAGAGAGAGCAGGTCCTCAAATAATGTCATTTTGTTCAATTCATTTCATTATAATGTTGATGAAATGCCTTAGGAACTTAACTCTTATTTATATCAATTAGTCTATGGTAAAATTGTTTCATTATATATTGTTTTGTATAAAGTTACAGAACCTATTGATAATGTTGAGGACTGACTATATCTATCTATCTATACACACACACATACATATATACATATAGACATAGCTATAAAACTGTATATCTGAATATATATCTGTTCAAATAAATTTTTATATATGTCTATTTTACGTTAACATATATTTTAAACAAAAATGGACTCATAGCTTTGTAACCTGTGTTTTCATTATATATTTTTTTCCCAGGTAATTAAATTGCCTTCACATATTTTAATGGTGGTTGTAGTTGCATATGCTGTGATTTATTGTGCCCAGCTCTATTTGGGCATTTTTAGGTGTTTTACCAATCTTTAGTATACCTCAGTAGAATCTGAGCCTTTCCTGTCAGACAAATCTCTACTCTGTGTTGTGAAGGTCTCTTCAGGGATGAGTCATTGGTTGTCCTTGGAACCAAGTTGGGTGTCAACATTCTCTGTGGCTGGGGCACTTATTCTAGGGCTGTCTAAGGGTTGGTGTTTTTTCTCAGAGGCTGTGGCAAGTAGAAGCAGCAGCCAGCAGCGTGGCATCTCACTACCTCTGGGTCAGCACTGGGCTGGCTAAGCTGGATCTGGAATGGAGACAGTGAGCCATGTGCTCCCAGTCCTCTGGTCCAAGTTCTGCTGAGTTCCTAAGGACACAACCTGACTTTAACCTCTGTCTTCTCCTTTCAAATATAGGTCTCTCCTTCTGATGAAAAGAGAAAGGAAGAATGGATTACAGTCACCAGACTTCCCTAGTCCCATGTGGAAAAGATAAATACATTTCCAAGTAAGACTTTCTGCTGTAGTGTTAAGTCCCCAAGGCCAGTCTCATGTGGATGGAAGCCACTGGCAGAGGTGCCTCCTCTATACATGGGAGAGCTGGGGCTCTTGTGTGTGAGAAGGAGCTAAGTAAGCAGCTGAGTGTGGACTAGTGAGAGCATAAGCAAGATTGCTGCTCTAGATAAAGACATGCCTTCAGAGCCTGGCCACAGAGAGTCAAGTAAAGGGTGCCTTCAAGACATGGTATCTTGGAGGGCTTCCGGGAGGAGGAGTTAGCGATGGCTGCTCAGTGTCCTATCTGTGGCATCTCCTGAGGGAGTCCCAGCTGAGCTGTGTCCCTGTGCTTCTGGGGTTCTGGCTAAAATGGGCACAGGTTCCCCCTGAACAGAAAGAGGCAGTATCATTGCTTTATAGGCACTAAAATCTTTTGAACTCAGCCTTTTGCTAATGTGACAGGGGCTGAGCCAAAATGGATGTTTCTGAATGATAAGTTTTAGGATATACTTTTATATTCAGTACAAGGATTTGCACATACGGGATGCTGTCTAGCCTAACAAAGTATTTAATTTATCTGAGACCAAATTGTTTGAATTCCTTTGGATACCCTTGGCCATCTACAGACACACAGTGGTGGGAAATGTGGATCATTCTTATCACGTCACTGAAAGATTTCCCCAGGGACTTCTACTAACCAGTCATTTTACACCTTAGTTTCAGATCTGTGTGTTCAAAAGTACCAAACAGCTTTTGTTTTAGGTTATTTGGAGTCACATTTTCCACTAATTCATTTTGGCTTGCATAGAATCACTCCACTTTATCTGGGTTCAGCTTGTCAGGAGCTTCTTGGAATTTCCAGCCAGTTGTGACCTCTGTCATGGCCCCACGTCTCTCCATTGAATGCCTGGATTTAGAGAGACCAAACTCATGGCCTCTCACCTGAGAATAGGCAGAATCACATAGCAGCCTCCTCAAGCTTCTCTCTCCTCCCAGCCCTCAAGCACTACCATGCACTTTTAGACAAAACTTATTCTGACTATTCTCAGATGTGACGAGGGCTCACTCTGATCGCAAAGGGCATGCAGCTCTCTCTCTCCCATGTTCAGCAGAGCTGGGTCCCAGAGGGCCATGAAACCAGTATTTGGCAGCTAAGAAGGCCTGATACCAGGCTTCAGAGGGGGACTTGTAAGTTAAAAAAATTTTTTTAATAAACTAAAAACACCTAGGGTAGAACAAAAAGACAAAAACACCGAGAATAGAACATTGCCAGGGCCCAGCAGCCCCCTCATGCCCACTTCTAGTCACTGCTTTCTAAGGTGAACCACTATCCCGAATGGTGTCAGAAACCCTGTCTGTGAATTTTGAAGTGTGTTTGCCCCTGTGAGTCTGTGACTTATTAAGGACTGCTTGTTTAGCTTGGGTTTGGGGAGTGTTGTCAGAGCTTCATCTGCAGACCAGGCCTGCCTCAGTTTCCTGGAGTGGCTCCTGACATTCAGTCTCTTCTAGGCGTGTTTACTCTTGACCTTGACCCTGGGGGAAGATGCCGATGGGAGTCATGGTAGAATTGAGTGTGTGTGTGTGTGTGTGTGTGTGTGTGTGTGTGTGTGTGTGTACACATGTGGCCAAATTCTCAGAATGGGGTGGCTGAAGGCCAGGTTAGAAATGAGAAAAAGAGGAAACAACTGCATGGTAAGTAGCTTCAGCAGAGAATGTTATACCTCTTGTACTTTCCCCCTAAGGAATGAACTTCTCCTGCATTTGAAGACCTACAACTTGTACTATGAAGGCCAGAATTTGCAGCTCCGACACCGTGAGGTGAGGGGTCCCCAGGGAAGATCTGTGGGGCTCCTTCTCTGGTGGGCCGGCCCAGTTTTTGTCTCCATGTGTCCTGTGTCTCTGTCCCTCCTGCCACAGTGAGTGACCTCTCATTTAGGATGTTAGTGGGAATTGCTGGAGCTCTTTGGAAGAGACCCCAAGTCCAAAGTTGTTCCAAAAAGGGTGAGCTTTTCTGTTCCAAAGGCATCCCTGTGGATGGGTGGTTGGGCTAGCACCAGCCTCAGAGGGGGCCCCTCCAAAGGGGGTCTTTTATGAAATGACCCTTTCAGATGGCTCTCAAGCAGGCTCTCTCTTCTTGGGAAATTCAGGAACCTTACCCAGTCTTCTATGTTTACATATTTGGGCCCAGTTCCTATTGCTGCAGCGACCTGGGCAAGTCACCTAAGCTCTGGGTGGCATAACTCTTAGTCATTCTCCACAACTGCAGCAGGCTTCGTAGGGTGCTTTCTTGGAATGACCTCCATTATCCATCTGTCTTTCCCCAACCCCCATCATGAATCTCAGTTTACTCATCCTGTATCCATTTCTGTAAAGCCTGTTATCAGATAGATGGTGAGTTATATAGGAGCCTGGTAGAGTAATTTATACTCTAGTGTTCTTGACTGATAAGAAGGTATGTCTATACTCTTCCCAACACATTTTCATATTATCGAGCCATGGTGATTTAATCCACAGAAAAAGATATCAGATGGTAGAATTTTAGCTAGTAAGGTAGGCTGGTTGGGGTGAGTATTTGGGGTGTAGTGGCCTTTTTTGTGTCTCTCAAACCAGGCAAAGCCCTACTTTGAGTTAAATTCTGTCCTACAATCATGTCATATAAAGTAATGATGCCAGCCTTGACCATCTAGAAGACCATATATGTAGCCTGTGCTTCAATAAAACCTTTCTCCCCAAGACTCCCAAATGCCCTAAAGTAGCTCCACTCCTCTTCTGCTTTCGTTTATTCCCCCTCCCTCTCTAAAGATGATCCTGGGGCTCAGGTTAGTTGCTCACTGGACAGGTATCATCTTTATCTGTGGGGCTTGTCCTGAAGATGTGGCCATGGCCCAGGTCTGACGTCTGTGGGTCCTACCCATAAAACATGGGTTCAGAAAGATTTTTCTGAGACTTGGGAAAGAAGGCCTGACCCTTTTGGGCATTGTCCTCAAAGCTTCTACTCATTAGTGGCTGGGCCAGTAACAAGATTTCAGTCCTTAAACAGCTTTTTCAGGGTGTGTCCTAGAGAATAAACTGTCAAAATCCTTGATGATTAGAGTTTCATGTTCATAAATGAGATCCATTTCTTTGGGATAAAACATGCAAATTCCCTTATCAGTCAACAATGCTTGAATATAAATTTGAAGTCCTTGCAGGATTTATTCACCTTTTGGAGAGTCATGACATAGCACATTAGCTTATTGTAAGTTCTGGGAAATTCCACTGTTAAGAAACATGATTAACACAGCAGCTCCCAACTCATGATCACTTGACACCCTTTTAAGTTAACAATTGATCTGCTAGAGGAGCTGGTGTTCTGCAGAATAAACTTGGGGAAATGTTACTTTAAACCTCCTTTAACCAGGGCGTCAGATTGCTAAACATTTGCAGTAGCTAATGACACATCATTTTCCACAGTAGGGGAAAGGAAAGTAACTAAAATCCAGGAATTTAGCTCTTGCTTCTGTTAGCAAGGCTAGTCTCACTTACTTTAAGAGATGTATTCGTCTTTCTTTAAAGTCATTAGTGTAAAAACAAAAACCCATTTTTACGATTTGTACATGTCGATTTACATTTTCGAAGCAACTATTGTGGTGACCTAGGAGGTCACCTTCATAGCCTCAGGGGTAGTTTGCAGTAGAGCGCTACTCTGAGCTGGGGTGTGACTATAAATCAGGTGTGTCCAGCTAGGACATGTCCAAGATGCTGTCAGTTGTCCCCCAGCACGGTGCTGGCTTCTGCAGGGCTTTTCTTCTCAGCTCATCCCACCACTTGCTTTGTGGGCAGGAGGAAGACGAGTTCATCGTGGAGGGGCTGCTGAACATCTCCTGGGGACTGCGCCGGCCCATTCGTCTGCAGATGCAGGATGACAACGAGCGCATTCGCCCCCCTCCTTCCTCTTCCTCCTGGCACTCGGGCTGTAATTTGGGAGCCCAGGGGTGAGTGAGGATAGGACTGGGGGTGACTAGGAGTTTCAGGGGTGGGTTCTGTGTGTTCTCAAGCAGGTAAATGCTCCTTTCTTCTGGCCAGCCTTGACCCCAGCTCCCGTTCCCACCTCCTTCACAGCCCACTTGCTCTGCTGTGGGATGAGGACAAAGGGGCAGATATTGGTGTGACCAGGCCTCCACGCCAGTCACCACAATCACTGAGTGACAGTCAGAGGGAGGAGAGGAGATGTCAAGTCAGAGAGAAGTGCCAATATGCCTGAGGGAGCAGCGTGCCCTCTCTCATGGAGAATTCCTGAATCTCAGGGATGTTAGTAGGGGCCAGCCAGGCCTGGCTTGCAGATTTCTGACAGGACGTCTGGTGCCCCAGTGTCCTCCCCACTGGGCCCACTCCTCATAGAGAGACGCTGCTTTGGAGATATTTAGGGCTCAAATCTTCTGACCAAATCTCTCTGTGTCTTGGGGGAAATTGGAAGAGGAAAAGGAATGTCAGGCCCTGTCCAAGCCAGCAAAGCGAGGTCAGCCAGGGGTCTGCTCCTTTTAGGCCCCACCTGGAGCTGAGTGGAGGTGTGATGGTCAGTGGTCTGGGAGGTCCCTTCTGCCAAGTCGCCACCGGAAGGCCTGTGAAGACGGAGCCTGTTCCTCCCCTCCCTCCGTTGCCAAATGGGTAGCTGAGTGCGTCTAGTAAGGCACGCCCTCCTTACTGTCTTTCCGGGACTTCAGTTTTTAGGGTCAAGTGACTAGCTTTGTTCCACCCTGAAACTTGCTGATCCAACTGCCTTCTGGCCAGAGCATGGGTGGAGTGTGCCAACCACTCAGCCAAAACCACAGTGGTGGTTTTTTTGTGGTATTTTAAATGTCTCTGTCAGCCACAATGGACATTTTGTTAAAACTCCACAGCCAAATCTATCTTT